TGACTCACGGGATGAAGAACTGGATCAGAAGCAGGAGCTCCATACATGGTTGGTATAGCTTCTCAGACAGCTTTTGAAGTGAAGTCTTCTGTGAGTCTATATTGAGCATATGGTTTTCTAACGACCTTCAGGGCTGTGATTTGTCATACAGCCTCCCCTTTGCTTCATTTTCTGTGGTGTTACTTCAGAGAAATAACCGATTGCTAGCATTTAATTTAGCAAGGACAGGACCAAAAATTTGGCCCTCACTGTAGCATTTGTGACGCTTCAGAGGCACTAGATTTTTTTCTCACTTTCATCTGGGCTAACTGATCCCACTGTTTAGGAATAATATACTGAAGGATTTTCAACCAGTTGAATAGCATGTGTGTATAATAAAATACAAGTAATGTGCAGCAATCCCGTATCCTACAAAGACAGCGACATTGGAGCGAGACCTGCAGCTATATATTAAACAGCAAGGACTGGCGGATGCTATATCTCCTTAACACGACAGGGTAAAGGAATAGCTAGTCCCTGGATTAATTCTGAGTTACAGTGGAGAAGAGTGTAAGGGAAATAAATGTAGCTCAGCACAATGTTTAGCAGCTGACATGACAGGAAGTTTAAAGTCCAGCCAGGTATCTCATGCTGTGCATCACCCCACTCTGCCTCTCTTCAGCCAGTGCTGAGCAGCAGTGAGAAATCAGCATCAACAGTCAAGGGCAGAGTGCCTGAGGCAGGAGAAATTCTCCTCACTTGAGCAGTTGGTGTAACACTGCAGACTTGCTGCTGCTCCCATCAGTTCAAGAAACCACTGGGTGCAGACAAACAAAGGGCTTCCGGTGGGACATGCAGCAGCCAGGCTGCTCCCTGTGGAGTTGGAGCTTGCATGGGGTTGTGTCTATAAAGGAAAACTAACTTTTTTTTAAGGACCCAGTGTTAGAGCGAGGTTTGGTCTGCTCAGGTTGCTTATGCAGCAGTCAGGCTGTAGCTTAGGAGGCAGGTGCTCTGGAGGGGAAGAAATGGTGGGTTTAAAATATGGCTGGAACCAGAAAATTGTGGTTTTCAACAAGTAGCTGGTAGGAAGTTCAGGAGCTGCGGTTTGTATGGGCCTCAAAGTTCATCCCTTTACCTGGCTACAGGGTGAGATGTGCTGCAGGAGAAATTTCCCCATTTAATGGAGGGAATGGGGGACATAGCCTGCAGTGTGTTTTTGTTGAGGTGAATATTGAAATAAATTATCTTTTGCAGGAATTAAAGCATTGTAGGGTGCTGTGTTAGTGAGCTGAGGACTCAAAGGGTACCTTTGGAGAGCAGAAAGGGTTCATAACACCTGGCCCCTCTTTGTATCAGGCAAGGATCCCTAGAGAGTAGCTGTATTTCAAGCACTGCTCACTAAGAAATCTCAGTATCAATAGCATGATCCACAACCATCCTGTAAAAACTGTCTTACCTTTGAGGAAAAGAAACTGCATTTACCACCTGTATTATAGGACAGGGCATTGCTTGATCACCACAGGGGAGGGTAAATAGGGTTTGTTTCACTACTCTCTTTATTCAGCTGTATTTTCTCCACCTCTCACCACAGTTGGGATCTCTCCTCTGCAATAACAGCTGACAAGACACCTACAAGTTCTGAGTGTGAGGCGGAGGATTTCCATCATGGGACAGGTGGGTCCTCCCAAGCATGCAGCTGAATGGCATAAAAAAACTCACCCACGAGCACTGCTTTAACAATCTGAGGCCCTGCAACGGCTGGGGCCCCCCAGCAATGCCCCCCAGCGCCATTGTGGAGCCAGGTGGGTGTTGCCTGCCACACAGCCCAGGCTCTCACCAGCATGGTGGCATCCCACTGCTTCTGCCAGGGAAAGGTAGTGCTCCTGGAGTTAGTTAAGGTCGCCAGCAGAGCCAAGGTGTCACAGCGTGACAGCAGCTGGATTATTTAGCCTCTAGCAGGGTTAGAATGGGAATGTGTTTTTACTGCATTATATAATTCAATTTTAACAACAAAAAAATGTCCTATAAAGTGTTAACATGACTCAACCCCATGAAAGAAAAATTGCACCCTCCTCATTCGCCTGAGGGTTTGTATCACATTGAAGGTGCTTTTCCCTTCTGAAATGCTGCAAGGATGTTTTGAAACCTGTTTAAACTGCTGATTTTACTTTGCTTTGTTAGTTGAAATCTCATCTCCTGAAGGGTTCAGTATCTTCAAGTGGCCTTAAACAAAAGCAGTGCTGGAGTGGGCAAAAGGAGGTGCAGAAGGAAAAACAGCTTGTGATGGCTTGTGAGGAGACAGCACTGTCGAGTGAGGAGGTGGTCCCCCATTCTCTCTCACCCTTTGACAGCCAGGATGTAGGGCTGGAAGATGAGCCTCCTCCTTTCCCCAGGTCCTCTTTGGACCACTATCTGTCTGCCAAAGCTCTACCTGAGTCAAGTCTGGAGGTACTGCACGGCAGAGCCCCTACCAGCAGCAGCAGCTGCACCTCTCTCCATGTGGTCCCCTATCTCCATCCCAAATACTTGCCTTCCACAAACAAGCTGCACAAAGGGAAGCATATCAGAGTTTAGGGGCTGAGGGCAGCCCTGTGTTTGAGCACACAGGGAATTACCCCAGGCACTGGGAGGCTTTGCGATAAGGCTGGAAAGGACAGTCATCATGCTTCATCAGCTCCTGCTGAGCCCAGAGCCAAAATGCAAAGCAGAAGATGACGCAAAGTAGATGACAGGTTGTTTTGATGCCTCTGTTAAAACCATGGTCTACATCCGCAGCAAGGGACATCTGAGTTTAGCTTTTGCACTAATGTTATACAGAATATTTGTAAGGCTCAAAGCAAAGTCCTGCAGGTTTTGCTTAGGAAATGCAGAGCTACTGTAGGTCCTGTGTGAGTAAGAAACTGCAACAGACATGGAGGTAGCTCCTATCCTCGCCCCCACTACCTTGTTGGCTGGAGAAGGACAGTCTCTACACCTCATCTGCTGGGATGTCCTCCAGCCCCTGGGGCTACCTGCTTGTCTGGGCATCTTTACCAGTAAATGCTATGGTAGCCCAGACCTCAGCTATTCATTGGAAAGAATTTTTAAATACGTTGCTATCACTCTCAATATGTTTTATTCTGAGTAGATCACCTCACAGCTGGTTTAATACGCAGTCATATAGATTAAGCTGCAGTGTTATTTGTCCTTCATTCATTTTTTAAGTTGAATTTAACCAAATCTTCAGTAACTGGTCACATTGTCACACAATCAAACACTCTCTGTCATTTACTGAAGATATTCAAGGACTCAGGATTTGAGGTCTTGTTTGGAGGCCTACAGGATAAACTTAGGCACCCCAGTCAGAATTTGAACCAGGTTCTGGAAAGTGTCAGGGCACATCTCACCACCCTGATCAACCTCCCAGCCATCCTCTAATACAAATTGAGACTAACCCTGCAGTTTTCCAACAAAACTTGTAATTCCCAGAGAACTTCAATGGATTTCAGATTCTGAACTTCCTTGGCACTTCTGATACCCTTGCCTAACCCTTGCCTAAAATCACAACATGTAAACAATTTGAGGCAAGTACATGAAGATTAATTAATTCAGGCTTGGTTCATACAGTAATTAACTACTCAGTTCTCCAAAGCAGTTTTAACAACCTTTGAAAGCAACTTGAAGTCAAAGTTCATAAATAATATTTCCCATTTCTTTATTATTCTTTATGCTCTTGAAATCCCCCCAGATATGGCAAATTCACAGATGTGCTATGTAGATATGGAATGATATTACAGTTTGCATCAAAGTAAACCATAAGAATTACAACATAATAAGGTCAGAGACACAGATAGAATATATATATATAGACAGTATAAGATTAAATCATTAATTTAAGATTAAATTAAATATTTTTTGTGCAACCAACAAGTTAAGTGAAACAACAAGAAAATGTTTCTGTCCACAAGTCTTAATAACGAAATCAGAAGCAGCAAACTTGAAGTTTTGCAATTCTGGATTGTATTATTTCTAAATTTTGTGAACCAAAGTGACAATTCAACAGGGAGGAATGGAGCAGAAGGAGACATTAGCAAGAAGCTTGAAATGAAGAACAGGTAGTTACTGTCTGCTATATATGGTTCATCCCAAATCAGAGGAAAACAAGAATATTCCCTAAAACTAATAATTCTGCTGAGTTCTTGATTTTTAGTACTCCACAGAGTTATGAATTTTTATTCCCAGGTTCATATTTTGAAGGTCTTTCTCAGGTTTCCCATGAGGATCAGGGCTGGAGAGGTATCAGGTGTTCTGTGGGGAATATGCCCATGGGAACCTCAATTTTTCCTAATTTCTGTACGAAAAGTCATGTCTGAAGGGGAAAGCTGTCTGGTTTTGCCTGTGTGCTTGCTGCTGAGCAGTTGTTCCCAGCTGTAGCTGCAGCACTTAGAAGCCAGTGGGTGTCCCAGCCTCAGATCAGGGATGCTGGCCCCAGGTGGCAAGAGGATGCAGGGACACCCACCCAGGCCTGGCCAGTGGGAAGCACCTGGCATGGGAGCTGCAGAGAGCTACATATCACAGAGCAGCAGCAGGGTGGTCAGAGAGCCCTGCAGGTCCAAAATGCCTCAGGACTGGAAAGCAGGAGAAGAGGAGGAGGGAGAGATGTTCCTTGTTCCTCATTTTGGAGTAAATAGAAATAAACACATTGCACGAGTGCCCCGACTGGGGTTGGGCTCTCCTCCTCAGAGCTTTTCAGGTCTGCCAGATAGGTAAGTAGAAAAAACATCTGCCAGTGAGGGGAGTTCGGCCAGCTTGGAAATTTGTAGCTGTGATTTGGACCCTCGTCATGCCCACGTACTGTGTCTCTGCAAGAGGAATTCAGTTACCATGGGTTACCCTATCAGTACGGGGACCAAGTGCCTCCCCTCCAAACAGCTCTATAAAAAGAGTCTCTCCAAGATACCCCAGCGGCTTCTGCCTACCAGCACAGACCGGGAGAAACTTGGTCGGGGGAGAAAGGGAGGGCTGCCAGAGGAGGTGCCAGCATGCCGTCTGCTTTCCAGTTTCAGTGCCACTTCGTCCTCATTTTCCTGGCAGCCTCCAAGGGGGAAACCAGATACCTAGAGGTGAGCAATGGAGCTGATAAGTAATGTGCCTCGCTGTGCTTTTAGCTGCTCTTTTCTAACTTGTGCTCCCAGCTTTTAGGCATCATGCTTTTTCCTCTCTCCCCTCCTATTCCCACTCCTCCTGCATGAAATCTACTCCTGGGTAACATTAATGCAACAGTCACGTTTCCCCTGCTCCCTTTTGTTTATTCTCCCTTTTCTCAAACTTGCATTTTTGCTGAGGATTTAAGAGACTCACCATGTGCTGAGCTGCTGGGCTCACAACTGAGGTGCCAGGTTTTTTCCCCTCTACTGCAGGTTGACAGCTTTCTGACTGAGCTCTTCCACAGCTACATGGCTTCTTGGAGGACAGATTTAATCTACTGGTGCCTGTTCTAAAGAGGTGCAGGGAGGGGGCTGCATTTCACTTTGCTCCAGCCTCTTGTTCTCTTTCCTTCACCAGGTGAGGGATGCCGGTGAGGATGAGCCCTTCCTGCTCCTTAGCGAAGACCTGAAGAGAGAACTGTCTGCAGGGCAGATTTACCGGCGGTCACTCCGTAAGTTTCTTTGGTGCTCTGGCAGGGACCGCCAGCAGGTGGGAGAGTCCTGGGGAGAGCCTGGGGCTCAGAGAGGGGAGTCCTGGGAGAGTCCTGGGGGGAGCTTGGGGCTCAGAGAGGGGAAACTGCAAAACCCCCCCCATTGCATGCTTGTGCTCACACCTGTGAATTAATATTCATCCTCCAATGCTCAGCAGGCTCCTAATTGCTTCAGCTGGGTCTCCCTCTCTTCTCTGCTAGCCATGTCTCAGTGTGGGGGTCTCTCCTCACTCCCCCCATCCCTGTGCTGTGGCATATAGTCTCCTTTCCCAGGAGGCTGAGACAGCAGTCCTGTGTCTCTGTTTTTCCAGGGTGCATCGACATGCTGAGCATAGAGGGGCAATTCACCTTCACTGCAGAGCAACCGCAGCTGCACTGCGCAACCTTCTTCATTGGGGAGCCCGAGGAGCTTATCACAATAGACTATAACTTTGTGAATATTGACTGCCAAGGGGGTGATTTCCTGAAGGTAAGAAGCTGGCAAGTCCTGCTGTGCTTCCCCTTCCTTGCTCTCATCTGATGTGTGAGACATTTACTACGTGTGGAAGGGACAAATGAATGTGTGTGCACACAAGCATGTGTGTGATTTTGTGTGCAGAACAGGCTTTTACACAGCAGCTGTCTCTGGGGTCACTGTTCCTCCTCTCTGAAGCACTTTGGGAATGTACCCCTCCAGCCCTCATCAGTACTCCCCCTAAAGCAAAATTGGATGTAGACTAAAGATCCCTCTCCAAACTGCAGCACTACCTCTTCTGAACTCTCCCTACTGAGTATCCATACCTGGGGGACCAACTGAAAAGTTTGCTCAGTATGAGCTGAGCCTCTCAGCCCCACTAGGAGGGTCTTCTCATTGCACCATGAATCAGACAAGCCCTGCAGATATACAGCTCTCTGAACAGCTGTTACTGCTTCAGGATCTTCACTTGCAGATCATTTAGCATCAGCTTATTAATGAGTGGATCATTGCAGGCTTTCTTTCAAATGATCCTGACAGAGCTTTTCAGGACATTGGCTCTGAACAGAAAGAGGTTCATGACTCAGAGCCGTAGAGCCGTTTATATTCCAGAACTGAAAAACTTTACCACCACATTTTGCTGGCAGGCAAAAGCATTGACCAAAATGTAATATCAGCTCAGGAGAGAAAAGGAGGCTTGATGGCCCCTGGCTGCTTCCCTCACCTTGCTTTCTGCCCTTTGTGCTGTAGTGATCCTCCACAGCACAGACACCACCCCTTCTAGGGGTGAGCTCAGCTCTAGGAAGGAGGAGGAGGAGGAAAGCTGCCCTTCAGCCCTTTCCTTGTCTCCCTCTCGTGGAGAGATGCTGTTCCCCTGCTCACTTTACCCTAGGGAATCCTGTCCCTCCATCCCATACCCCTAGCTAGGATCTCACCCCACATTGCTACAGGGAGGCTGATTTCAGCCTCTTGTGAGTCCAAGGATTTTGTACCTAGACTTAGAGCCCCTTATGAAGGCTAGAAAAACGTGAAGAGATCTTTGAGGCTTTATAGAGGTTTCCTTCCTTTGATCATGGCATTTCCAGTCTCTGCATTATACTAATGTATTTATACTGGCAACTTTTCCCTGGTGTAATTCAAGCACCCACATCTCATTGCTTCACAAAATTTACAGCCCTGGCAAATGAAGAGACTGAGCCTCCAGCTTTTCCATGAGGAAGTCTCACACATAGTCACAGTAGGATTACTCACCAAAGCAATGGCAGAATCTGGTCCTTGGATTTTTGAAGTATTGGCTGGAATGTAGATGAAATTAATGTGCGAGAGCAGCTAGGGGGGAACTGAAACAGCAAGACAGGCAACTGTGTAGCTATGCTAGAGTTAATGCAGATTTCTAGTTCTGACACATTTATGACACATTACTCTGAAAATGGGGAGGGCAAATTGTTGCTATTTTTGTTGTGAAGCAAAGACTTTGAGAGGTTGCTGCTTAAGGTCCAGCTATTTTTTCTGCTTTCTAGTGTTTAGGACAAGCTGAAAGAACAGATGTGGTAGAGAGCAATGCCTCTGCCAATAATTCGTCTCTGAAGCTTTATTGTGTTCCAATACCTCTGGAAGCCCTCTGGGGCCATTACTGACAAGCTGCAAAACATGGATGGTATAAAATTACAGGCCAGATCAATGGACTTAATGCGCAGAATTTGAGAGGGTGATTTATGTTTCATGTGGTTTCCAAATAAAGATGGTCAAAAACTTCTGTTAGTAACAGTGGAATTGCAATAGAAAGAAATTTAAAAAAAAAATTGTGATGATGGAGCAAAAAGATCTGTATCTCTCAAAAAAAGGTAAAAGAATTGTCATCTGAAGGAAATAAAGTGATCATTAAATTTATATCTGTTTCTGAAATACAGATTGAAGCTTGAAAAAATAGTTAAGTGCTAGGAAAACAGCATACAATTAATTTTTGGCTTTAATTGATGGCTTTGAACAGGCCATCTGGTGTCAAAGTAAGTGTCTGTGATTCTTTATTTTTCTGTTCTTTGCTAATAGAGTGATAAGCAAAAGTCTTCTTTTCAATTATTGAACCCTTGTAGGTGTTCGATGGCTGGATACTCAAAGGAGAGAAATTTCCCAGTTCCTTGGACCATCCCCTCTCCACTTCCCAAAGATACATAGACTTTTGTGAAAGTGGCAATATTCAGAGGAGCATCAGGTCATCTCAGAACGTGGCAATGATCTTCTTCAGGATTCAGCAGCCAGGCAATGGATTTACCATCACAGTCAAGAAAATCACTAACCTCTTTCGTAAGTCTGCTTTTTATATCAGCAGATGGGCTTGTGCTGGGGCAGGAAGCAAAATGAATGTGTTGGTTTGCACTGAATTTTCTTTGGCATTATCTGCACTGGCATGGTTCTAGTAATGCCAATGGAGACACACACACCTGTGTGCCTCAGGGTTTGACTCAAGCTCAGTATGTCTCCAGAAAAAGAAAATAAGTGAAGTGTAAGAGATAACATATGCATGACTTCAATATTCAGGACCAGAAGAATCTTTGAAATAAAGATCTCTTCCAATCTAATATTGTCATGCTCCAACACATTTAGCTAGAACAAATAGTATTAATTTAGAGAGTTTAATCCTCAGCAATTTCTAGATCTGGGAGCAATAAGAAAAAATATTTGAAAAAGTTCAACAGGAAGAACAGTGCGTTTTTCTAGTTTTTTGATAGTTATAAGTGATATATGATCCCAAGGATCTATTTGCAAGTTATTTGCACCATGTTTCCAAGAGGGGGCAGGGCACTTAATTATTGTTCAGACCAGTCTGATTTATCTGCTTCAGCATACAAAAGGACAAAGATGACAGCATGTCTGCCCTGTCCTGGCTCTGAGACACAAGTCGGAAAGCTGTGTCTCCAAGTTGGTGTGGCTTCATGCCCATAGATGTGATTGTTGGATGCAGCTGTTAGAGCTCACCAGATCTGAGTGGAGAACCGCTTAGGTTGCACACACAGATTAAAAGCTACTCCCATACCTGAACTGTTAATTTGGAACTTGAAGATAAAATTGGCATGTACCTGCTCTAGTTTCACACACAGAATCACAGAATGTTAGGGATT